ATGTTACCTTTAGTCTTCAACTATTTCTGTTAACTTGTCTTTGTTCCATAGGTTTGGTTTTGTGGGTTTTTTTAACTGCCCACTTCCCTTAAGGGATCACTTTCTTTTACATAATAGATTTAAATAAAAGTAATTGTTCTACCTTGTATTTACCTTAGACTGTATCTGGTGCTTTGCCAGATCTGAGAAAGAGCACCTTGGGCCCCAAATCTTGTTTAATATTTCTCCAAGCTATATAGTTGGTCTAATAAAATAGATTTGCAGACTAATCCTCCTTCTCACATATTCTCTGGACCATCATGACTATAAACATTAAAATACTACATAAAAAGAGTCCTTTATCCTAGGTCAAAAAGGTACTTGGGGGCTACAAAATTGCCATATCTGCCTGATTCCCCAGAATGAAATCCAAAAATGTTAGATTCCTGGACTCCTTGAATAGTCCATTAAGTCAGGTTTTTTTTAAAATGGTGTCCAAAAAAACCAGCACACAGAATGGGGAACTAAGGTAGCCAACAGAAAATTCTGAAGGCAAGAGTGCCTCTCAAATACTTCCCAATTCCAGGGTTTAGGCACTTTAGCACTATATAGAGACATGTCACTTTCCACTGTATGCTGAAGATGGGTACCTAAATAGCACCTAGGTTAGGGCCACAACCACACGAGCATGGACATTTGCTTCCCCAGGGACAACTAGCAGTGGGACAGCTTACACTGCCGCTAGTTGTCCCTGGGAAACACCTGTGCCACACATCTGCTGGCACATAGCAGGTTACCCTGGGTGGAGTAGAAGAGGCTGGGGTCAGCACTGGGATGGCCCCATCAAACTTACCTGGGTCCTGGGGACCTCCTGGTGCTGCAGCCATGGCAAGCCTGCCCCTTAGAGCCTGGCCAGCTACCAGAGTGTGGTTCTGGCCAGCCAAGCTCTGGTTTTGAGTGGTGCACACTGCCCCTGCATGCACCACTCTGCTTTTTCTTTGTGCTTCCTTGCAGTATGGAGAACAGTTGAATGTGCAGTGTGTTGCACTGCAGGCATGTCTGCAGTGCCACATACTGCACAACCTCACTTGTGCTTAGGTGTGCAAGGGGTCTCTAGTGGGTTCAGAGTTATTGCTTTGTTCACAGAGTCTTTAAACATAATACAGTCCTTTATTCCCAAGGTATGCCTGTCCCACAGACCTCTTCCTACATCAGCCAGTCCTCAAGAGAGAGAGGGGGGCTGAGGGACAGGCTGGAGAGTGGATTCAGAGTCTCAACACAATGGTCCCTTGGAGGGCCCCTGGGAGAGCCCTGTGGAAGCAGCAGCAGAAGCTGCCATGACAGTGACACAGTATCCAGTGTGATACAGTATCCAGTTCTTCTCTCCAGCCTGGGAGGCTGCGGCAGCAGGATCAGGCAGGGACTGCTTGTGTGGAGACTCCAAGCCAGGAGAGGCCTGACTGCAGCCGGTGTGACTGGGTGAGCGCAGCAGAGCCGGGACTGCTGGAGTCTGCCCTAGTTTCCCTGATGGGTGAGGGGCCCCAGGGGCAGGTGAAGCCCAGGGAGGGGCTGCATTTGCCGGGGCTGTGATGCTGTGTGGAACAGGAGGGTTGCTACAGCTTGCAGCCCAGACTGTTCACAGCAGAGCCAGGGTAGGGAGTCAAAGGCAGGATGAGGCTGTCTTGCAGGGTCTGCAGAAGAGGAGTTGCTGCTTGCTGCTCAGAGACCCTTGCTGCCTGGAGACTCCTGGAGCACGGAGGCAGATACCAGTGCCAGGGAGCATCTACAGACCAAGTGTAGGGACACAGACAGTCCCGCTCCCTGAGATACCCTGCCAGGGGCAGTGCACACAAGATCCCCAGTACACTGTGTGCAAGTGAGAGATTGTGTAAATAAGTTCTTGATGGTTTAGTAGTCGGTATATCCATGTGCTTATTTAATGATTATCTGTTATGTTGTAAATAATTAAATCTTGTAAATAGTTTGAGAACTGTCTGCGAGGGTGCTTGATTGTAAGGGGAGGCTCTCTGCTCAGGGGGCACTGCAGCAGCTTCCCAAGGGGGGCTGGGCAGGGCTACTGGCTACCGGGTACCCCAAGATCCCATTATTCAGGTGAGGGCGCATGTAGTGTCGCGCCCAGGGTTACATTAAAAAAATAAATAATGTGGTGATCCCTTCAACCTTTTGTTCAATAGCTCTATGGTTACAGCACATGTCCAGGATGTGGCAGACCCACATGCAATTCCTTCCTGTGATGAGGAGATTCAAGCTTGAATCATTTACCTTTTAACTACCAGATGATATGCTAGTCTGTTATTATGGTTGGGGATGGGGGCACTCTCCATCTCACCGTAAGCTGTTCCATTTTTTTTTAGAATGAATAGTCATTGAGCAAGAAAACACTTAAGAGTGCTTGACTACGTGTCAGTGAATATAGTCACTGAGGACACTCACCTGGGTGGTGGTGATCATAAGTTCAGTGCAGTTTTTTTAACCAGAAAAAAATCTGTTTCTACTATTTTTTTCTGTATTTTGTCTATTGACTGGTTAACATAAAATGCACGAACAGATTTTATTCCCTTGGAGGAGGGATTGAAATCCAGAACAACTATTCATAGTGTTGCTTGGTGAGTAATCCAGACCTGTTTCCTTTCCTGGGTCCAATTAATCTTTCAGTTATGTCTACAAAATAGAAAAGCTTTAATAAGATAGTTAGAACAGAATAGCCATACCCCAGAAAAACCTAGACCTTGTTGTTGGGGTCCTTTCTAAAGAGGAAGGAAAATGTTTTTAAATCCCTCCCAAATAGAATGAGTTGAAACTGGATCTTTGACACCCCTGGAAGTTTGTATACCTCATAATAAATGTGGCTGCTGAACTTTTGTGGTTTTAAAAGGAGGACAGAAACCACCACTACATTTTCTTCAGAATCACTTCAGGTACATCTACATGCTCAGCTTGCTCTGGGAACACTTACCAGCTCAAGTCCCTCCAGGAGGAGGGACTGCGAAATGTGTAGTTCATGGGTTCTGACTGAACTTAGGTAGAAACTAGGTGGCGTAAACTGCTCAGCCTCAGCTCAGGTTATGTCCAGAAACATAATTATAGGCAGCTAGAGAGCAATAGACTGACTTTCAAAAATGCTGAGCACCAAGAAGATTACAGATTTATTTCAGAGCCCATTTAAAAAAAAAATATTGACCAGAGAAATAAGTGCTTCTGTGAGCATCATTGTGATCTCTAGGATGAAATCAAAAACTGGTCAGAATGGTTACATGTGACCTAGTCTCCACTTAGTTAATAGAGATTGTCCTTTAACTCAAGTAGTAAATGCCCTTCATTTCAGAGCATGAAGATTTCTACCCCTGCTGCTGGCATGATCTTCTGATTGACCATGACATACAGCATAGAAAACACTAGTAAAATGGATTTGCTGAAACCAAATTGATAGGTAAAGTGAATAAATCTCCTGTATTCTAATCTATTTCTATCTTATAATAACCAATGAGTCTGGATAACAGTAGAGATAGAAAAAACTCACTGGGCTATATATATGTTTATTTTTCTTTCTACTCCAAAGTGCATTTATACCAAAATTATTAAACATACTTTATTATACACATATGAATATATAGGCTATTTCACACCAAACAACCAAAAAACACTGAAAATAGAATTAATAGATATTCCACCTAATGTGTTCTTATATCAAGTATTTGAATTTGGTAAAAGTTTTCTTCATGATTTTTTTCCCATTTATTTCTTCATGCATTAAAGAAGGATACACAGACTTCCAACTCCTTCTTGTATACACGGTTTCCTTCTACATCATTGTGCAATCATTATGACTTATTGTAATAATTTATTATGGTTCTTTAAGTAGATGAATGAAAAAAAACATGTTTCCTGTATCTCATTTGCTAATGTCAAGTTAAAAAGGCATATAAGATTATAATAGATGCCTCAGAAACTCCCTATTATTTGAATAAAAGCTGAACAAATTAACATTGCTGAGATGAGTTCATGAATATTTACATTCTCCTTGAAACTGATTATGAGAAAAATAGTCATTTGTGTGGAATTTATCAAAGCAGGCAGGTGGAAAGGGATGATAAAGTATATTTTTATGAGTATGGGAATAAATTGCAATGGTACCTATATTACAAGATACCACTTTTTATTTTGACAAGAAGCCCCAACTTTCATTTCAGATACTCATACTGATAAGTCTGGCAACAGTAAATGTCATACTGAAATGTGAAAACCACTGGAAACTGTAAAAAAATATATTTGAGACCCTGATATGCAGCTATTCTGACATACAACAAAATACATACACTCTGAGTGCTGTGAAGTACAACTTTGTCAATGTTTAGCAGATGTAAAATAGGACATTTATAAAACATTTAAGGGCAGGTACTGTATGAATGAAATTATTCTAAAGGCCTGTTAGCAAGTTTCCAAAAGTTTATTCTCCTCAAAATCAAAACTACAATGATGTTCTTAGCTCTCTTGATTGGGTGACTATTAGTTAGTTATAAAACTAAAACTCTGTAAGTGACGTAAAGCCAGATTTGGCTTGGTTCTGTATACCTCATTTTAGGTAGCTAAGTGGCATATTGGCCTCTTAATACAGAAAGAGAGTGATCTTGATTGGCTGTGTTGCAGCAGCCACAAAATTCATTAGTAACCTCCATTTTAGACCTTCAAAAAAAGTGTTAGGGGCCTGTAACAGGGAGCCAAAGGGGCCTGCTACCTTAAGGGGAAAGTTCAGCATGCCCTTTTGCTGTGTAGGCAGACAGCTGAGCCAAAGCTAGCTGCACTGCAATAAGCTTGATGTGTGGGGCAAATTTCCAAGCCACCTGAGAATAAAATCTACAAGAAACTGGGTTAGGATGCAGCAAATAGGGGCATTCTGGCCATTAGGCACAAGGGCAAACCCCTGTGTTTGCTTAGGGAGCCACCTGACTGGCATATAAGGCCAGCACCTGAAATAAGGCAGGCAGTTTGGCTCTTTGTTTTATAGGGAGTGGAGCTCTTGAGAGAGAGAGGGGCTGCAGGAGACAGCCCAGCAGGCACCTAAACCACCCATGAGAGGTAGGAGGTAAGAACTCAAAGGGAAGGGGGGCTTGCAGGATTTCATTGACCCAGAGTGGTAGAGACTTTTTCTTTGCAAGAAGTTGCTTGTATTTGCACTGCAGTTCAGTTTGACACTGAAGGACCAGATTATGGCTGTAGGGGAGGATTGGAGGCCATGTACTAGGGTTCCTGTGGCAGCTGGGTTTTAAGCCTTACAGAGAGGCAAGCAAGGGAAATGGGCAGGCTATAGTTGAGAGGGTCAGGGTGTGCACCTCAAGAGGGAGAGATGGGGAGGGTGAGAGGGCCAGGCCAGTGCAAGTGGGCCTAGGCTTAGGAGTCCACAGATAAAACAACCAGTGGGCCAAAGCCAAGAGAGCTAAAACCTGTACAAGCTGGTGTATAGAGAAAGAGTCACATCTATAAGACCTGGGCATGACTACAAGGGTGGATGAAGGCCACAAATATAGTCCATAAAGTAGCTGATGCCCTGAGGCACTGGTAGGCCCAAAACTGCCACAGCTTAGCATTTTAGGGGCAAGACTGGGGCAGCTGGGCATAGGGAAGACCAGCCAACTGGAGAACTGAAGCTCATTAAGGGATCCTGAGGACAGCCTCCTGATATACTATAAGAAACATCAAGGCATGGTAGGCAAAGTAAAAAGGGAGGATACTTTGAGGAGGCAGAGGGTCAGGGACCACGTGACCACCAGAGGTCACCGCAGACACCCATAGGGAGGAGCAGACCCTGTCATAGTCCCTCAAGTTCCTCAATCCTTCATTGAGTCTGGTGCTAGTTGCCTACATTGGAATTTCTGAACATGCTCAGAAGCAATCTAGTCTGAGCACCTCAGTGTCTAGATTATGCCTAAACGGTGTTGCAATCAAGGAGGCAAATGTAAATTCTACCCATGTCTCTGGAGGGGTCTGAATTGACACATACATTCAGTCATATCTTAGTCATACAAACAACATTAGACTCAGTTCAGAAAGACAGACAGTAGTTATGGAGCCATTACACAACTTCTGTATAATATCCTAGTGGCTACAGTAATGTTCCCCAGGAAGAGTAAGATGAAGGTTTTACACACTTTTACATCTGAAGGGACTCAAACTTGCATCTCACTTTTCCCCAGAGAGTTGCCCTATCTGATTTTTTTTTTTTTTTTTGAAGCCTCTAGAACCAAGCAGATTGTAGATTTATTCTAGAGCACTTTTTTTTTTTTAATATTGGCCAAGGAAATAAATACTGCAGTGAGTATCACTGTCATCTAAAGGATGAATCAAATCTGCACAAATTGGTTACCTGTGACCTATTCTTCGCTTGGTGTATAGAACAGGCTCAGGGTGGGTATTTTCCATACCTTCTGTTGAAAAAGATGGCCCTCTCTGCTGCCAAGAATACAAGTCATGGGCCCTGAGAGAATGAAAAGGAACAAGCAAGAAGAAGTGTGACTTTGGCCTAGCAGCTAAGATATTGAGCCAGTGAGGGAGGAATACTAGGGCTCCTATTCTTGCATCTAAGATTATTTATATTTTTAGCTGATGGAAATGCAAAGTATGTCAATAGTTCTTGGAAAATAAATAAAAAGACACCCTCTACCTTTCCTAGCTGAGTGCACTGTTGTATAGAATCCTACTCCTTCTTGCTTGCTCTTTTTTTGGTCATATGACTCTTCTTGCACATTGGTCTGAATTGTTCAACTATCCCATAGTCTTGGAGTCAGGATACCATCTTGGGAAGCATGAGATATGAGCTTGAGTCCCCTCAAGCTGAGGCGAGTCTAAAACACGGACCTCCAATCTTCCAAGTAAGTGTTCAATATGTAAAAGATACCAGCAATCACTTTGATACTTACTCACAGAAGAGGGGTTCATGGTTATGTAGTTTGGGTTAATAAAGGCATATAATATGTAGCCTGAACTCCAGAGGGGCATATTCTGCATTCATTGTTTTCTCTTTGCTAGTTCTAGGTTCCTCTGAATTCTCTGAATTGAATCCTCCCCATTTTCTCGAAGTACCAAACCCTGTCTACTTAATCTCTTCAAAATCACCTAATTCTTTCTATTGATAGTATAGGGATCTAAAGTGCCAGTCAACTAAGTTTAGAAGTTGCAGTACTTAAGTGGAGGAATGGATGGGACCAATCTGGATCAGATCTGTAGTAACTACTACCCAACAATTTGATAACATACAAAATTACCTGGTAAGTAAACTGGCATTTCACTCTACTTCAAGTACACATGGCAGTTACTAAGTAAATTTAGGCCAGAAAATCCTTCTGAAAGTGGATAATTACATAAAAGCCTATGGCTTGCACTGCCAAAAGTTGAGGTACACTTTTTAGAATATAGGATGATTAAAGTTGTATATTAAAATCAGTCACAGGACTAGGTAGGGCTGGCATTAGGTTGACTTTGCATTGGCATCTAGAGGTTAGGTTTAGGCTTAGGCTTCCTGCACAGAGGAGTAACAAGTATAAATAATAAGGTTCTGTGCCCTGAGCAGCAGTCATCAAATTTGTGTCACCTCAAAATTAGGACCCAGGACTGATGCCCTGGCCACCTACTTCCAGTTGCATTATAGCTCCTGCACATCACCTACAGCACTGGTTCTCAACCAGGATGCTGCAGCACACTGACATGCTTTGAGATCCTTTTAAGTATGATGAACAATACTGGGTGTGCAAACATCTAGACATGATTTCAACAAAGACGCCATAGCCCCTGCCACCCTGCCCTGGGCCCCCACTGGCCCTGGCCCCAGGACACCAGTGTGGGCCCCATGCTCCCACCCAGCTGTCACCACACTCATGGCTGCATATTGTTTGCTGCCACCTGCCTGCCGCCACCATTTCCATGCTTTCCTGTTCGCTGCCACTTCTCCAGACCTCCTGGCTGCACTGCCAGACTTCAGGACTCATAGTGTCCCGGGATCTGGGGCAGCAAGGGGGCCTAGGGTGGGGTGGCAGGAGCCGGGCTGGGCTGTGCCATCATAGAACCCCTGCTAGCTCCTGCTACATCCTGTGGTCTTTGCCATGAAGCTGGGACATGGTGCCAGAGCAGCCAGTGGGGGGAGGGGGGGAGGGGATAGGGAGGCAGTGGCAGCAGGCAGGAAAGTAGGGAAGTGGCAGGAGAAGGTCCGTGGTAGCTGACAGGGGGGAAGTGGCAGCCAGTGGGAGTAGACCAGGAGTGCAGAGCCCGGGCTGGGAGGAGTGTTGGCAGAGGTTCTGCCTGCCACAGCAGGGGCTGTGGGCAATGCGGGAGGATGGGAGTGTGTATGCTTGTAGGGCAAGTCCCCCCCCGCCACCATACGCATGTACCCCCCCTCACTGCCATACATGCACATCCCACACCCACACCCCCCATACCTATCCACCCCACCACAACCCCCACACACACACCCATACCCTCCTCCATACCCTACATGCCCAGACAACCACAGCCCCCACAAACCTAAATCCACCCACCGATAGCCCCCCCTCCCCCCCATATACAATAGTAAGACTTCATTTTATGTTATTATGCAATCACCTCTATGTACACTACACACATACATGTAAATCAGGATATTTAAAAAAAAATCAAATTAATGAATGTTGTAGTATATGTTTGATTTTTAGACTATAATTTGGTATTTTTCTGGTTCTGAGATGGCAACCCCCCTTGCTGAAAGCAGTACTCCTGGGGGCAAGGGGAGGGACTTCTGATGGCAAAGGTCAGGGGTTAGGGGGAGGGACTTCCAGTCCCTAGATGGTGACTAGGGGCTGGGGCACCTGTTAAGGGGCAGGGCTACTCATGGAGCCCTCCACACCTTGCCAAACCTTGGTAAGCAGCCCTTCAGCTGAAATAATGGCCCACAGCTGTATTAGGTGCTTCCCAAAAACCTCCCATACATACCATAAGGTTTCTGGTGCTGAAGAAATAAGAAAAACAAAATTTTAAATATATATTTTTTTTATTTCAAACTTCTTTTTACTCTCACAGCACAGTACAAAAACAGGCCTAAAGATGAATGCTAAAATTCAAACCAGATGCAGGATATTTACAGAGCTTGCCTTTACTCTCATATGTTTTCTCAACATCCTGTTAGGATGATGTTGGCACAAGAACAAGTGGGTTTGCAGTGGCCCGAACAAATTAGGCTGGAAATTAGAAGAATGTTCCAAACTATCAGAGCAGTGAATTTATTTAATAACCTTCCAGTAAGAAAAGTAGGAGCACAAAATGTAACCATTTTTAAGATATATTTTTTTTCGTAAACTGAGGCTATGATGTGGTTATATCCAATAGCAGGGGACTGCAATCAATGAAAGAAAAGACCCCTTCCAGTCTTGTGCTCCTTCATATGCTCCTATTTTAGTAGAAGGATTAACACAAATGGATGTTGACTAGCTATTGAAAATACAAGTCAAATGAAAAGAAGCATGAAGATTTTGGCCATCAGTGGTCCCAAATTACTTTCTGGTTACTTGGCACATCTGCAAGATAAGAATACATGCTAATTTCCATTTTTGTGTTTTTTCAGTAAAAAACAGTTTCACAAATTCCCCAACACAGCATGTTGTTACTTATTGATTCCTAGAATGAGCTTAAACAATATCTTGAGGTCAAATGTGATAATCAGCATCACAAAGACCCCTTACTGTTGCAATCAGTTTTTATGTCTAGATGAGAATGTTGCTGGTAGGTGGGTAAGGAGAGAAGGAATCCATGCAGATTTATTCTAATGTTTTATGACATTTCTTTGGTTAGTTTAACAACAATTTGTGTATTGAGCTGAGAGAGAACTATGAAAAATTCTGATTTAATTTATTATGTGCCATTTTCCTTGCATTCCTGTTTAAGTGATGGAATGTTGCTTATTGGCTTTCTTACAGGACAGGAAGACAGACGGAGAGAGAACATTAGACTTGTTTCATATCTCAATACCACGAATTTATTACTACAAAACTGATATAGCACAAAATCCCTCTGTGTATGTACATGTGTGCATTCATCTTTGCTTACATGGCCTTTACAATTAATTCACACAATTAAGGAAAATAAAATATGTGACACACCCAGATCCTGGATGCAGTCAGGTGTGCCTTTGAGACATACTCTTGGGATGTTCTCAGAGTACCAAAACCTTCTCTGCCATCTGCTGCTTGACCAGTGAGAAGCAACTAAGTCCTGACCAGTGGTGCATCAGCTTTACCCACCCCATCTATGTCTTGCCAGGTCTTAGTAGAGGTCATTTTGTCAGCCAAATGGACCACACTTTGTCTGGTTATGTGCTCAGAAAAGACAGATTTCTTCCCTTCCTTGGAAAAGGCCTTCCTGTACGTCCAAATGCTCTTAAATCACAATTACCACTGATAGTAAGTGTGTTATAAAAATAACAAAAATGGATTATAAAAACTATTAGCAATCATATGTTGAGATATAGAAAGAAATAACAAGGCTGAATATATCCTGACACTACCTCCATGGAGCATTATCTGAAATGCTTCCAGTGTCACATGTAGGGCCAGGTAGATTGGCAGAGCTACAGAGTCTCAATGCATGCCTGAAAAA